CTGTTTTTACAGCATGCACTTTCTGCAACATTTTTGAGCCATTTTCTGTTATTCTGATGCTTGTCCCACCAGTTACTGTCAATTAAATAACGGTCACTAGTGACCTTGGACACAAATTAGGTATTTCAGATATTGCCTAAGAACTAACTAGATTGGTGAAAAACAAATACAGACTTTGTAAGGACGAATGCTTTCACTTTCGAGTTTTCACTCTTCTTAACTGAAAAGCTCTTCCACAGCATCCCCTATGCCTTTACGGAAATCTTTAACACAATTATATTGATCGCTTCCTTTTATTCTAATGGTAGTTCAGTGTGTATGTGCATTAGACATCAAGTGACAGCATTAGAAAGTGTGTCCGACTATTGCCGGTGCTGTGTGGCCCACTGGATAACTCACTTCTGCAGCGATGAGCATTTTACAATACAGGCTGCATTAATGATGCTATAAACATGCAGGAGCTGCTCATGGCAATAAGTATATTTAAAAAGGGGTATAAGTGAGTTAAAATAAGCTAACTAGTGGAAATACTAATAATACTTTGCACTTACAAAGTATCTTCAGTCCAAAGCACTGTCCACAGCAACATGCTCTTATTTTGGATTGCTGAACTCTGAAGTCATTACATTTTCCTTTCAAAAGCCTCTCCAGTGAGCGAGCTTTCTTGCAGTAAAGGAAACCTGCATGCAGCTCACCAAAAACGTCATAAGCATTGAATGGAAAGAAGACACTGCCTGAGACAGTATGATTAAAAGTTCAAATCTCTCCTAGCCATGGTACGGTGACTCTGTGGTGCTCCCACCTCTTGAATGGCCAAAAAGGTGAGCTAAAATTGAAGGCCCGAGCTTGGACTCAACACGTAGCAACGCACTGAGCTACCTTTACACTACAGGATTGGCCAGATAACACTGTTCAAAGGGAATTGCTCAAAATTCTTTTTTTTTTTTTAATTTAAATCAAAATATTGCCAGCAACTAGTTTACTTCAAAGCAACCTTAACTAGTGCTACTGCAAGGGTAAGCACTGGGAGTAGGGAGTAGCACTGAGTAGGTTTGATCATCTTCAAATCTTTCAAATTTAGTGTTTCAGTATTTCCTAAATTCAGAAATTGTGCAGAATACTTAGAATGCTAGTTGAACTATTCAAATTAACATCCAACAATGCCCCATGCAAGTCCCTCTACAAATGACAAAACTTAGTTTTAAGTGGCTGGGGGGGGGGGGCAACAGGAATTACCCTCAATAAAACGATCTGAAAGTGAATCTACAGTTTCAGTGGAAACCCTAAAGGACCCTGAATTTCCAGGACTCTAAGTGCAACTGTAGTAGCATGTATTCAAAAATACAAAGTGGGACAAGAGCGCTAAGGCACAGTTTTTGTTAGGAGAAAACCTGTTCGTGTCCCATACTTTGGCAAAAAGGTTCTGAGAATTCATGCTTGTGTAATGACTACCCCAGTAATATTGCCAAGAGCAGTGTCTGGATGAGTTATTTAACATTTCATATTAGTTCACATAAATTAAAGTTGCCACATAGGGGTGAGGGAATATGACTTTTTCAAAATACTTTTCTGCATTTCATGTCAAGGAGTCACTTTTCATAGTTCACAAAGGTAAAAACCATCCTGGTCTTGCCAATTCTCTGGCCCTGTCTACATCCCTGCAAACCTTTTCACAGCTGAGTAGAAAGAGTGACTATTTCGATGTGTACAGTAAAAAGTATCTGATAGAGAACAACTATCTAGGCAACGTAATCATGGTTCTGAGCTATCTACGACTCTGATTTACAAGACACAAGCCATCTCACAAGAACTACTTTATATCAGGATGCAATAAAACAATAACATTCAATGCTGCTTGTAAAATTTGTACAAAAACTTGGTAGATAACTGGAAACAGACATGTTGCCCAGTAGAAACAGGTCTATTTATACCGTCGGTTGCATAAACAACACAGATGTATAACCTATTCAGACTACCACCAGTCCCGCTCACAAGGCAATCTAATCACACTAGTCATAGGAATTCTCTGCAACGGGCTGTGCAAGGAGACCACAGCCAGATTATAAGTAGATTTACAGATTTTAAGGCTGGAAGGCACAATTATGATCATCTAGTCTGATACGCAATGCAACACAGGCCAAAGACCCTCACGTGATAATTCCTGCATCAAAATCATAACTACAATTTGAACTAAAACATACTTAGAAAGACATTCTGTTTTGTTTTAATCGCAGCAATGAAGGAGAATCCAACATGTCCCTAGGTAAAGTCTGACTGGTTAATTACTCCCACCATTCAAAATATATGCCTCATTTCTAGCTTGAGTTTGTCCAGATTCTGCTTCCTACTACTGAATCCTGTTACATTTTTCTCTGCTAGACTAAAGCGATTTGTTTAAATCAAAAAACTACTCCCTAAGAAATGTACTTGCAGACTGTAAACCACTCACCTCTTCACCTTCCCTCAGTCTTGAGTGGAATGCCCTTCCCAAATTTTTCGTGTCCTTTTTTACATTATGGATACTCACTAAAGCTTTGATAAAATTTCAACTTGATATTTTTCTTTTTATACAGTCAAAGACTGTGTTTGTACCCATAGCTACAGCAGTCATCCAAGAGCTCACATTTTGTTGCTTCCCTACCATAATCCTAGTCCCAATTCATCAATGCCTCCATTATTTGTCCCTTTACGTTTTGTTAATTTAAAATTCATATTGTTCAAAGAGCTCACTTG